GGCTTCTTCGGCCAAATCCTGCAAATCCGCCGAACGCCCGGATTTAGTAAATCTGGGATTTACCGCAAACAGGTGGTAACGGCGGATTTATTCTGCTTTGAAATTTTTTGCCGATTCAAAATCACGCAAAATCCTGCTTCCTTCGTAAATCCTGTTGCGAAACGGTCCCTCAAGGTCTCACCTGCACAATTTATTTATAAGGCCTCTGTTTATGGGAATCGAGGGGATTCACAAATCAATTTTTTGCTAATCTGTTTGGATCTGTCCAATTCGCTAGGTACCGAAGATGTTGGAGCAGCTGCTGATCTTTACGAGAGGAGGTCTCATTCTATGGACGTGTAAGGAGCTCGGGAACGCCCTCAGGGGCTCTCCAATCGACGCACTCATCCGATCCTGCCTTCTTGAGGAGCGATCAGCTGACGCTGCCTTCAACTACGACGCACCCGGAGCCGCAGCCTACACGCTTAAGTGGACCTTCCACAACGAGCTCGGCCTTGTGTTTGTCGCCGTTTACCAGCGGATCCTCCATCTACTTTATGTGGATGAGCTTCTCTCCGCCGTGCGTCGTGAGTTCTCGCAGATTTATGATCCTAAGCGTACTGCATATGATGAGTTCGATGAGATTTTCCGCCAGCTTCACAAGGAGGCAGAGGCACGAGCGGAGGAGATGAGAAAGTTAAAGCAGGCCGGAAAGGCGCCTCCTTTATTGGGAAAGAAGCAGGTCCAAAGTGCTGCGCAGAGAGGTGCACATCAGGGTGGTGGAAAGCAGAGTGGTGGTAATAGTGATTCTGTGAATGATGAAGATGATGGTGACTCAGAGAAACGGCATGGGTTAGTGAATAATAGCTCTAATGGACACCAAAATGGGATCAAGTTACGTGCTCCTAGCGCCATTAAGGGGAAGGAGAATGGACTGCCCCGTTCTGGTGCTTTTGATGTAAGTAAATTACAGAAACTGCGCGCCAAAGGTGCCAAGAAGAATGCTGCCGGAGGAGCTAGTAAAGCTTCTAAGGAGGAGCCAAAGAAGAATGTAAAAAAGAACAGGGTTTGGGATGATTCACCTTCTGAGTCGAAGTTGGATTTTACTGATCCTGGTGATGAGAGAGGAGATGGTGTCTTAGAGGTTGTGGCAGCTGATCAGGGTGAAAGCATGATGGACAAGGAAGAGATTGTGAGCAGCGAAAGTGAGGATGATGATGGTGACGAATTTAAGAGTGCCAAAGCCAGTGTGAAGAAGAAGAGCTGGTTCTCATCTATGTTCCAGAGGTACTTAATCTATTTTCCATCTCTGATGGCTTTTCGGTTATGTGCGTAAGTGCTAATTCTGGTCAAAACTCCATTAAGCTTGTTAATCATAAAAAAAATGTGTAAGGCCTTTCTTTGATGCAAAAGAACTAATATGGTGCCTGGCTATATTACTTTGTTATCAATGATGCGTATGAACTTTTACCTACTTAACTTTGTTTTGTATCAATGCCAATATGGTCATGTTGAATAACATGAATATGACATGATTGTTATGGCTTTAAAACTCTACAATTGAACGTGACAGATTTTTCTCATAGTGGAAATGACTTGCTGATATGGATAGGCCAGTTGGCTCGACAGGTCTATATCTTTATAAATAGCCACTAGCTTGAACCCCAACTGATTTCTTCCACCAAATGATGTGCCTTTTTTTAGATAGGCTAGCAAGAATCTCGAGTATTTGATTCGTGACCCAAATGCATGAAATTTGATGGCCCACAGCACAAAATTAATGCATGTCTTAATATAGCATATATTAGATATCTAACTGCTGAAAGCTATTACCATTTGTGGAATACTGACTATTGCCATTCGATCGATGAAAGTTATAGAATTTCTTCGATAAACAAACATAAATAAGTCTAATACACTGAATATTTTATTGGTGTGCCATGCTACGAATATGCTTTAATCTATTCTACTGATTCTTCATCCATATAAATCTTCCTATTCTTTTTGTTAGAGGGAAAGGATTTTGATCAATAGAATTGATGTTTATATATATGCAAATACAATTGATAGAATGGCAAAGAATTAATAATGAAAATATTCTCCAATAAGGTAATATATTGCATAATAAAGACAATATTTTCTAATTGCTAACTTTTCAATCTTGTATTGTACGATAACACAACCCTTCAAGTTTAATATACATATTAGGAAGATCCAGGTTATTGTAAAGATTGGGGAATTAAAGTGATCCCATAGCCTTTCTTAAAATATATTCTTGCTATTCTTCACTAAAGACATGAGAAGTGATGATCGTTTTTGATAGAGTTACATCTCTGATGAAATAATAATATATTTTAATATGTTTTTTTTTCCCTTAAAAAGTAAGGTTGCTAGCAATATGGATGATTGTCTAATTATCACACTAAAGAATCATAGGCTGTGATATACAAAAGCCAAACTTTTCAACAGAATTTTTATCCGCATCATTTCATAATAATGTATCATAGCTATATTTTGTTCCAGTGCTTGATGTAACAACAACGGTATATTTTTTTACTTTTTCATAAAAGAAGATTATATCTCATAAAATGCAATATCCTTAATTGGATTTTCATTCTTCAAGATATCTAATATAATCAAAATTAGATTAGGCTTTAATTTATAAATGATTATGTCTTTGATAAATTATTTATTGTCTATCATAAATTTCTTACCATAACATCCCAATGTTTGTTCTTTGGATTTTAATTTTTATACATGCATAACTTCCATACCAACAACGTTAAGTAGTAAGATCAATGTTAAAGGGTCAATTTTAAAGAAGTTCATCCAACTTACCTTTCAAGGTGCTATAATAGTCTTATACAAATTGATCATTGTATTATAAAGAGAAAATGTAAGAGTAGAAAGTTTATAACTTGAGATATTGTTATTTTGAAAGTATGTGGAACGAATGTCCCAAACACTTGAAAATTTTGAAAGTATGTGGAACGAATGTCCCAAACACTTGAAACATTATTGTGAAAAGAAGTTAGGTTTAAGACTTTTAAGCATCTATGTGATAACCTTATAGTTAGAGGCCTTCCATTTGGCGTATTTTGGTGGTGTCTATTGGTTCAGGAGCCAGACTTTACAAATTCTATAGTTTCTCATGAGGTTTTATTAGAAAATGGAAATTTCATGTACGCAAGTGATAGCTGTAACCGTCGAGTTTGATTGTGGTACCAATAATTAAGAAATGTTTTGTTTCAAAAAGAAGAGTGGAGGAATTCATTAATGAACACAACAAACAAAAATGAGAAGGCATTGATGAGCTAAGTCGTCATTAGATTAAGAGCCACATTTGGGTGAGCATGTGATGGAGCAACCATAAATATCATGTACATGTGAGGATGACTTGTAAGGAGAATTTGGTGAGCAACTAAACATGGGCGTGAAGGGTTGTCACTTGTCAACTTCATTTATCTTTGTTGCGTCCAGGAGTATTCACGGCGGTAGAGAAATATCATATTTAACGTCTTAGCATTGTACGAAAATCCGGTACGTAATCAGATAAGGAGAGAGGGTCTAGCATTTATGAGACACCAATATTTTTACGTGGAAAACCCCTGAAAAGGGGGAAAAACCACGGGGCCTAGCCCAGTTTGAATGAATCCACTAGTATTGCAGTAGATTACAAATGAGGCCCTTCCTTGAGAGAAAGCCTTAGCTTGATGTACATTTTATAGAGTACATTACATGATATGAATACAAAGAATCATTATTGACATGTTCGTTGGGTCTGGAGGACCGTAGTCGGCGGGCGACGAAGGTCAGAAGGCTTGTAGTCGGTGGGCGACGTAAGTCAGGAGGACCGTAGTCGGCTGGCGACGGAGGTCGGAAGGACTGTAGTCGGCGGGCGACGTAAGTCAGGAGGATCGTAGTCGGCTGGCGACGTAGGTTGGAAGGACTGTAGTCGGCGGGCGACATAAGTCAGAAGGGCTGTAGTCGGCGGGCGACGTAAGTCAGGGGACCGTAGTCAGCGGGCGACAGAGGTCGGAAAAACTGTAGTCGGCGGGCGACGTAAGTCAGGAGGATTATAGTCGGCTGGCGACGGAGGTCAGAAGAACTGTTGTCTGACGACGAAGATCAGAAGGACGACGTCTGGTAGAAGTCCAACAAAAGGAAAGACTTGTTATTTCCGGTGTTTGAGGGCACCCGAACTATTCTTTTCTTAATTATAGAACTAAAAAGAGACCTTGGAACACTAGGAAGTTTAGTTCTAATTTGTTCAAACATTTCCCCCCTTTCTGCCAGGGGGGTGTACTTTTTCGTACATAGAGTCGTCCTTGTACTCGGCATACTTGGAGATTTTGGTCACCGTTGTCGTAGGTGATATCTGTACTTGTGTCCACAGTGATTCGTTGTTCTTTCAATACACTGTTGTTATCCACAAGTGGTTTGTACTCTTTTGCAGGGACCGCTGTATCCCCTACAACCTGCTGAAAATATTCGTAGGAGAATCATTGTCTTTGCATCACATCCACCTTTCACCAATCTCAGGTGGGTTTTATATATATTTGTATTTATTTGTAGGTCGTAGGTTGAATGTGTAGGAGCCTTCTACTGTAGATTGCGGGCATTTGCATTTGTCGTGTGTCATACACTGAATACATCCATATGAGGTGTTGTAGTTTGATTGATGTCGAATCTGACTGAAGTATGAACCCTTCCATGTCCAGTTCGAATCAGCTTTGTGAGCTCAGTGTGCAAGGTTATTTTCAGCTTCCTTTGGATTTGAGTTCATTGAGTTCACAAGCCCCCACTTAATGGTATATAGTCCGAGCTCATAATACAAATTCAAGTGTCCCCTGAAGTCCTTTGAGTTCGATTGTATGTTCACTTTTTGTTCATAGTCTTCTGGAGTCCTTAAAAGTTCAATTATATGATCGAATTGATTTGAATTTGGTTCTGATTTGATTTCATTCTTATTTGGATTTTGATCTTTAGAAATCATTTGAATTTTTTTCGAGTCCTCTGCACGTTTTTCAATCAAGTTCGGTGGTCTACAAGTCCACGGTTCTTGTTCGAGTACAAGTCCTTGCTTAATGTCATATAGTCTGAGTTCGAGTACGAGTTCAGAATCTTTGGTTCAGGATCTTCAGAAGTTCTTTGCAAGTTCAAATTGATTTTGATTTTTCATTAATCATTTGAGTTTCATTCTGAATTAGGTCCCGAGTCCACCGTTCTTGTTCATATTCAAAAGTTCACTGCTCTTTCTCATTTGGTCCAAATCTTTTATTCTTTTGAATTTGAAACAGGTCCAAGTGTAGTAACATTTCACCCGAAATTTCAACAGCCTCCCGGCGTCTCCCCTGTTTAGGAGAAAAACTACGAAAAACTGGGTCTTTCCCACCACGCTAAGAAAAGCGTGTATGGTAGGTGTCCTCTTTCGAGGACACCGCGGCCGTGTAAAGTCTTTGTCCCCACCACGCTAAGAAAAGCGTGTATAGGTCTTCTACCGGTACCTGTTGCAAGAGAAACAGCAGTAGAGAAAAAAAAAACAGTCGTTTCCCCGCAAGCGGGTACTTATGGGTATCCCGTCTTCGTCGTATGCATCGCACCGGGTTCCCTCCCACCACGCTAAGAAAAACGTGTATAGGTGGTTTTCCGGTGCGTTACAAACTTAGAAGAAGGATTTGGAACCGAGGATCGCTCGCCTACCTTGTCGTAGGTGTCGCGCCGGTTGCCCCTCCCACCACGCTAAGAAAAGCGTGTATAGGCAGACCACCGACTCGACACATATGCCGAGGTAAGAAAGTGAGCCTAGGTTCCAGAAATTATACCTTGGTCGGCTGGCGGATCGGCGGTGGAGGGCTCGCGGATCGAGGTAGGAGGGCAAGCATTTTTTTTATTAATTATAATTAACATCAATTAAATAAAATTAATTAAATAATAATCTTTAATTAATTATAATTAATTAAAATAATTAATTAAGATTATTAAAATCAATTAATTAAAATAAGTCATAATTAATTCAAAATTAATTATAACTTATTAAAATTAATTAATTCTAATAAATATAATTATGGTTGAAATCAAGATTATTTAGATTTTTTTCTCCAAATTACGATTTTTAAACCATTAAACAAAAATATGGCTTGACCAAAGAAACTTGAACCTTGATCAACTTGAAACCATATAAGCCAAAATGCATGCAAAAACATAAAAATTTTGCAACAAATTCCTAAAACAAAATGACATAAAAGACCATCTAAAAACCTAGATACTCAATTAAACGGCAAAGATACTAGTACAACCTTCAAATGAGCAACAAAGCTAAGGAAAATTTTCAGTCAATTCATTAGCCATTGTGGGTTTCTTGCATCTCTTCCAAACATATTGCTTCTCACAGAAACGTAGTAATTTGTTGGCTGAATCAAAACCAAAATTTGAGACAAAAAGAAGGATGAAAGCTATGCAGGAGAACTAAGGAATTACTCAAATTAATATTATCAAAACTAATAGGGTTATGGGGGATACTGACCGCCATAAACATGTTTACAACTTTCATCAAGAAGAAAAATTGTTTGGTTGACCATCATGCAAAACAAGAATGAACCAGTATTATTGTTGTTACTTCTAATGCATAGATACTATAATGATGTAACATGTGGGTTGAGGGAAATGTCCCTAATGCCAAACCTCATCATTCATCTACAATCTCTTATTCTTCCTCAAAATGAAATTCAAACTATCATCCTTCAGAAAGATTAAGACGCAAGGGTAGAGACTATCAAAAATTTTCGCTGGGAAGGATAGCTTTTAATTCTATTCATTTGCGCTAAGTTAAAAAGTTACGGAAGAGAAGAAGAAACATACCTGCTCAACAGTAGAAGTAAAAGCATTTCCAATTGCAGAGAGGTCTGATGATTTTTTCGACAAATCAGGCTCATCAGATGATTTCATATGCACAACTGCCATAGAATTCACCTTAATCTGGGATATCAGCAAAACAAACTGCGAAGAAAATTTGAGGAATGGTGACTATTTATCAGGTATAGCAAATGCAACTGAAATTATACAAGAAACTATTCACGCTTAACCAGAGGGTAGAGAATGACCAAGTTTATCATTCATAAGAAAGGTGCATATATGTAATTATTGAAACAAGGGGTGTTTGGTAAAGGTTAGTGAATGACCAAGTTGAAGATCCAAATAAATCTTTTTTGACTCAGTTACCCTTCCACTTTCTCTTTACAGCTTTAACACTTCACATATTCCTTATTTCTATGCTTCAAGATATTATTATAAATAATGTATGATACATATTTAATAATATACCCCTAATTGGATAGTATAAAGTTCATGCCCTGCTACCTATAAGCTAATAAGAGTTAAGCAAATTGGAAAAAAATGTTAAGAAATGTTCTAGTATCAGCATACCTTGGAAATAGAAGTCTCAAGAGATGGCAAATAATGGCGAAGACAACAAGCCAAAACCAGGGCATATAGATGCATCTCCAACTTGTGATCAGGAGGAATTTTGTTATAACTGTAAGAGAAATCCTAAAAATCCAAAATGTGATGAGACATTTCCTTGGAATTTATCAAGAATAGGAAGGCTCAGAAATATACCAAAGTTTCAATATTCTTATCCAATCCTCCAGAAAGTTTTCTCTTCTCAATGGACTTCATCATGACTCTACCAGCTAAAACTACATCAGGTGGTAAAACAGCAGGCCAGTGTGCGCCCCCACATTCATGAGTATGTTCAGGCAGATCACCACCATTTTCACGAGCACTATGATATAGTGAGATGCTTTCTGTAGCATATTTCCAAAGTTCTACTGATAAATTATTCTGAAAATTAGAAAAATCATTGCTCCTGACAAAGTTACAGCCCACAGCTTGTTCTAAGCAATGCTCGGAGCAGTAAAGTGGTATTGTGCATGATCTGCAGAACAAAGGATCTGTAGGAACTTCATTGAAGCAAAAATGGCAATGTGTTTCCCGGCAAGACTTTGTAATAATCTACATAACACTGTGGGAAGTAAGAAACAACTAATAACTTCAATATAAGAATGAGAAGTTAGTGAAAAAGAATGACTTTATTCCTGAGAAAGAAATTAGGCTTCGTTTGAGACGGCTTTCTATTTTCTTCTCAAAGCATCTTTTTAGTACAAACATTTTTCTTTTTTACTACAAAGCTATTTTAAGAAGCAGCAAAAAAGCTGTCCCAAACGAAGCATTATTCTACTGGGTAGCAGATTTTCAAGTATATGCTCGTGTTTACTAGGGAAATAAAGAGCAAGAATAAAAAATGTACTCAATGCTGATTAAGGGAATAGCAAACCGTAGCAAGAGGTTCTTCGGTGTGAATTAATGAAGCTGCAGGAATGTCATTTGAAGAGACCATTCCTCTGCCTTTATCTGGTGTTGTAACGCAATGCAGCTTAGTATCGGCTGTAACAAAAAATATTTTGCTTAGCATATTTTGAATAAAGGCACATACTTTTAGGAATCATTTGACTAAGAAATTATCAGTTTCCCATGTCAACAAATTGCATTCAAATATACAGTGTGATTTCAAGGAAAATCTAAGAAAATTTATTTCTACAGTTAAACATTGGTGACTTCATGAAAATAGGGTAGCAACAGAAGCGAAACCGGATGCATTTTAATAATTTTATCTAAATTAAAATTCGCAGGAAAAATATTGTTCTTCAAAACAAAATTAAATGATAGACTTCTAGAATGAATTCAACAAGAAAGATACAATACTACTTTAAATTAAATATTCATAGTTCTTCCAAAAAGTTAGGACAATCTAAGACATTAAACAGAAAAAAAAAAAATTCTTATAAGTACCATTCAAAATCAGCATGTAGGCTACCCCTGACAAAATATAAAGGATGACAAACCAAAAAATTAGAGGTCTGAAGGAAGGGAGATATTCATAGTTGTGGAGAATTTACGAATAGGACAAGTGTTTACAAGAGGGTGTAACAGAACATGTTTAATAGGTTTATTTTGGTCCAAAGCTCTTCCAATAAAATATTATGAAGCAATGAAGGAAAGAAAAAGGAAGTACCAAGTGCATGAGAGGTCCCATCAATACGTATACCAGCATCATCTTTCAGCAAGGAGTGACAAAAAACTTGCTGCTGATCTCTTTGAGCAATTTCCCATTTCAGTAACAGAGTTGTTTCTATTTATTAACATAAGTTATATGTCCTAAGCACAAAGATCAGGTGGTCAATATCGTCAAATGAATGTTTATTAAACTTTAAGTGTCATTATGCTCCTAATTGCGTGGTAATTATTCAAGCTTATCATAGAATCCCTGAATTTGCTCAGTTTGATGACATTGTTGCAAGATAAAATGTAGAGGATAAAGTAAATAATTAAACAACCCATGCATGTCTGGATATAGTCAGCAAGTATGATTAGATTTTTAAAAAATAAAAAACAGAAAGAAAATGTGTTATATTAAAAGATGAAACAATACCTAAAACAGCATGTAATTTCTCATTTTTCTTTGTATAATCTGACTCATTTGTTGCCTTACTGCGATGAGGTAATAGTAACTGAATATCTTCCTTTATCTGGTTTTTCCCAGATACAGAACCTTCCATAAACAAAGAAATCTGTAAATCACATATTGCAGATTCATGCCGTTGGAGTGAAGCATTTGCCTTCCCTCTCCTGTACCAAGCCTAAAATTAAGGCGAAGTAAGCAATGAAAATAGTAATACCAATTGCAGTGAGAAGCAGAAAATGTACTACTACAATTTACCGTGGAAGACAATAGCTACACTATACGATGGAAACTGAAAACTGCCAACTTTTGATCCGTTTCAGTAGAACAAGAATACAAATCCATATAATAGTGACAAAGCAAAGAGCAAGGCAAAATTACTAAAAATAGCAGAAAATTTCGAACTTAAACATATTACTAATTGCCATGTCTATAATTAATTAACTTTACAGGTCACAAATCATGCAACTCTTTTGCCTTTTTGAAATCAAATCATCTTAGGGTCCAAAACTTGTTAATGTAGAACTACAATAAGAAACACAGAATAACATAAAACACTCAAATACAATCTCTTCATTTTATATTTTCTATGAAACCAAAAATGCTAAGAAATCCATCTAGATTGTAATGTAATAGCCTCCTACTAGAAATAATACATAGAATTGGAAAACAAATCAATAACAAAACCAATTGGAAATCATGACCAAGTAGAAATGATACAATTAATAGATAGTAATTGAGTTTATAGGTCATAAAGACTATTAGTTGTTTAATATGTAATTATAAGAGAGTATATGAGTTAGTACATAATGATAGGGTTGGTTATGTTAGGGTCAACAAGTTTAATGTTAAAGTGGGTTATGTTACTATGTTGTTAGAGTGACCATTGTATCCTTATATTTACCTACATTTGGAGTGTATTTGGTAGGCAAAAATGAACTTAAATACCTCCTTAACTGAGTTATTCTACTTCTTCCTTATTCCCCTTTGTGGGCTCCGAAAATTCGGCCCCGACCTCCCCGCCTGCTTTTCTTTTTATTCGGCGAGGGAGTTTTAACAAACTAAGTTTCGGGGTAAATTTTGGAAGGCAAATGGGTTTGTAGATAAGACACTACCCAGAGATTTCGCCCTCATTTTGTGAGGACTTTATGATCTAAGTTCTGGTTTCCTATAGGCGCAAGCCCCTATAATTAATTAGCTAACAGAGGGCTTTGTGCCCTATCGATCATATCCTATTGATTCATATCTCAAGGATTTGATGCCAATAAGGAGTGTATTGGCTCTGGCCATAACCAGTATCCGTGGTGCCATTTGGCCACAAAACCACTCGGTTCAGAGGGCCCCGGGTCGTCGTAACCGTTTATCCTGCGGTGCCATTTGGCGGCAAAACCGCCGGTTAGAGGACACGTACCACGTCCTTACTGGCAGGAGATTTGTTTGAGAATGAATCATAGTGATATTTTCGACTAGGCATTTGGCTCTTTATGAGCCGAAGTAAATTTTGATTTGTCCACCTCGGCAAACTGTTGCGGATGATGGATGGATTTTGCTTTAAGCGATTGATAGTTTATTTCAATTTTAAATATCTGGATTTTAGGATTTGTAAAATTTTGAATTTTGAGTGGAGTTTAGATTTTGAATGGACTTTTGGGAGACATTTGAAAGTATTTGTGAACCCCTCCGGTAGAGATCTACATTCAACACGGCCATCATCGGGGTGTTTGGGGTCATTTCTCTATGTTGATTGAACCTTGTCACTCGACCAAACTATTGCTCGAGGATCGGGTTTCTCGTAGGCTTTATGCCTTTGTTCATGAATTTTCCTTGTTGAAGGCCGAATATGAATGTACAAAATAAATATTCCAGTCAACTTTGTGACCTCGTATTTATCTGATGATTCGAAATCTGTCTACTCCTATTTATCTGCCTAGGAGGATCGGGTTTCATAGGCTTTATGCCTTTGTTTAGTGAAATTCTTTTGATTGTAGGCCTTGAAGGCCTAATATGAATGTATTAAAACAAATACATCGGTCCCCACAACCGTGTACTTGTTTAAAGGTTCAAACCCTGTCAACTGCTATTGATCCGCATAGAAGGATCAGATTCGAACTTGAATTCACTTATCGGCTTGCGCAGCATCCCTAGGCGTCACGTGTGTACCAATAACACGCTCGCCGGGGTCCATGCGAGTCAGGATTATATTTTCCCCTTCAATATACCTATGTGTATACAATTTATGGTGCACGTGCAGGGGTATTTTGGAAGTATTTATAGACGTCTTCTGTCCGCTAGTACGAATGTTACGGATCCGGTGGCGATCGTTGTGGATTGTAGACGCCTTCTATCTACTTGTATAGATGTTGCAGATTTGGTGGCGTGCGTCTTGATGTTGACTCCCCCTTTCTCATTCACCGGGGAAGAACTTTTCGGATTTTGAAATTTGTTGTTTTGTAAAGAACTCTTTTTAAGATGATCAGTGTAATGGATTTGTTATTCCCGGTGTTTGTGGGAACCAGAACTATTTTCTTCTCGAGTATAGCACTAAGAAGAGACTTTGGAATACCAGGAAGTTTGGTTCTACTTTGTTCAAACATTTCCTCCCTTCTGCCAGGGGGTGTCCTTTTTCGTACATCGGGTTGCCTTTGTACCTGGTGTACTGACAGCACTTTTATCACCACTGTCGTAGGTGATATTCGTACTTGTGTCCACAGTGATTTGATGTGCTTACGATATACCCACTGTTGTTATCCACAAGCGGCTCGTGTTTGTTTGTAGGGATCCGTTGTATTTGTTATGACCTCCTAGAGATGTTCGTAGAAGACCCACTGTTCCCACATCATGCCCACTTGCCACCAATCTCAGGTGGCTTGATGATTGTATTTTGTTTATAGGGGCGGGCCTTCCACTATCAAACGTCAATATTGCCTTCTTCAATCAACAAGCATTGTAGGGATTGTCGTAGAAGTTCATATATTAAAGCTATGTAACATGCTTTGAGTCACTATTAACCGTACAAATGTTCTTGTAGTTTGAGTTCCCTTGTGTGTGATTCAAGCTTTGTTCCTTGTATGTGTTTGAATTCAAATTAAGTTTCATTTAGACTCGAGTTCATCGAGTCTATAACTCCCACATAATGTTGTATAGCACGAGTTCAAGTGCGAGTTCAAGTGCTCAAGTCCACAGATCCTTGTGGTCTAAAGTTTTGTTCGAGTTTCACTTGGTATTGCATAGTTCGAATTCGAAGTACACGTTCAAGGTCTTCTGAAGTCTCTGCAAGTGCAATGTCATATTCGAATAATTTGAATTTTGGTCCCAGTTTGATTTTATTTCATTTGATTTTGACTTTTAGAAATCATTTAGAGTTTTGTTCAGATTTAGGTCCACAAGTCCACTGTTTATCGTACAGATCCTCTGCTCATTTTAGTTCAAGTTTTGTACATTTCTGTTCAAGTACAGATCTTCTATATTGTTGCCCAAGAAGGTCTTCTTATTGTTCAAGTCTTTGTACATTTCAGTGAAAATTTCGGCAGCACCTCAACATATCCCCCATTTGGGAGAAAATAGGGGAGCTGAGCCTTCCCATCACGCTACTCGAGCGTGTATGGTAGGTGTCCTCAGACACCGCGGCCGTACAAATTTCATCCCACCACGCTATAAGAGCGTGTATGGGGCCTTCAGCAGTACCCGTACGAGAACACCAGTAGCTCTCCCCACCACGCTACAAGAGCGTGTATAGGGCTCACCCACCTCGTCGTATGCTTCGCACCAGGCTCCCTCCTACCGTGCTACAAGAGCGCGTATAGGTGGTTCTCCGGTCCGCCGCAAACGTCGAGAATGGGATTTGGAACATCATACCTTTGCGTAGCAGTCGTCGGCGATGTCGGTGTCGAGGTCGAGGACCGTCCCCACCACGCTACAAGAGCGTGTATAGGGCTTACCCGCCTCGTCGTATGCTTCGCACCGGGCTCCCTCCTACCGTGCTACAAGAGCGCGTATAGGTGGTTCTCCGGTCCGCTGCAAACGTCGAGAACAGGATT